TGGTGACAGTTTATCTTTCTTAGACTAAGAGAGGGTCAAGGGTGAGCTGGACTGAAGAGATAAGGATCTGCTGTGGAAGGTTCTTTGTTTAAGAGTGTCTGTGTCTGTGTGTATAAGATGTAAGGGCAGTGGCCACAATTCAGAGATCACCCTAGTGTTTGGCTGGAGTGGGTCTCTCCATATTGCAATATGTTTATTAAGTCATTTCAAATGCTCACTGGGTATGTTATTGTATGTATATGGTATTGTTAAAATTTCCATAACACTGCCTACTGGGAGTCTGCACTTTCAATTTTATCCCTGGAGAAAGACAAAGAAGAAGTAGAGTGCCAAGTTTCCACTTTAGCCACCGTTTGCCTCAGTTTTGGCTTGCCTTGTAGATCCATGCTTACATAAACCAATGGATTATAACAATACATTTGGAATCAAACCCATGTTATAGCTACTGCTGTCTCTTGTAGTTATTAACTTATACCACATACCACAACTTACACCACTAACAGTGTAGCTAACAGTAGGTTAGTAGCTAAAGTTAGCTTACCTAAAAATACTTAGAGTACTTCTAAAAACTAAGGTTGCATAAAAGTAAGATTGTCGTGAAATTACCTGACCATTATTATTGTAAATATGGATAGAGAACTTGATGTGGTTAGTTATAGTTTCAAATAAGGCATAGATATTTGCCCAAAAATTGAATATTCCAGTTTTCAACTGAGAGGCTTGATCTTTTGATGGTCAGGGGTCAATCAATGATGAAGGTGGATCAGGGTCATGGTGCTGCGCCCCCCACAACCCTGAATTGAACAAGCAGGAGAACATGGATAGCATCTTATTTTTGTGTACTGGACTTTTTTAAAAAAATTGCACCACTTTTTTTTCCTACCTGAAATATATTTACCATATTATTTGCTGCCATCCAAAGTATGATGTGAAAGATGGTGCTCTACACGCCTACGTCAATCTAATGCATTCATACGTGTTGTACATTTAAATATAATTATTAACATTTTGAATATGTGTTTCCAGTAAATTAAAGACTTCCTGATGCTTGTTTTAATCAGCTATCACGATCATAGTATTAAATACCTTCTTATTACACAGAAACCACCACAGGTGTTTCCTAGTAGTCATTATTACCTGGTTATTAATATGCTATTAAATAAAAACAGTCAGTTTTGCATTTTGCAGCTCTGTTTCCTTCTTATTACGCAGAAAATACCAGAGATATTGCCAGGTAATAAACACACATCTTTACGTTAGCTTTAATTGGTTATTAATGTATAATTAAGTGGAAACAGGCAGTTTTGCATTTTGCAGCTTCCTTCCTGCTTATTACACAGATACTACCACAGGTAATTGAGTAGCAATAACTTACCCTACTATTACCACTTTATTACGGCGCTATATTTCAATAATATTTACCTCAGTTTTTGAGCTTTTATTATCCTATTACATACATTTCAAGATAATATTACTCAGCTGTAACCGCTGTTGCTGCCATGATATTACTTGGATATTGTTATTAGATTTGTAATTGAATAGTAATAACATAGAAATTACCACATTATTACTCTCTTGTTTCCCCCTTGTTACTCTACTATTACCTCTTTATTTCTGAGCTGTAATAGAAAGTGGTACTAACACTTTATGCAAAATGGAGATGGTCAAGCAGAAGGACTGGATCATCTGAGATAAATAGGAATCAGAATATTTTAATAATCCCCAAGGAAATTATCACCCATAGTAAAAACCTTTACTATATTCTTACTAAAATAGTTATTTCAAATATAGTTGAAGAGTTGAAGTATCATAAGAAGTTTCTTATTTCAACTCATTTACCCTCTGCATATGACTGCATTTATATATTCTAGCTTTCTTGTACAAACAGTGAGTGTGCAAAGATAGGAAAACATCTAACAGCTATAAGCTGTAGCCGATGTCTTTATTATCAGGCTGGTGCCTAAGTGACTGTGTAAAGAAACTTCACAGAAGAAAACAATTGTGCAGACAAAGATTGTTTGTTTATATATAATGGTGGTGTAAAGACTGCTTTTGCCGCACCCATTTGCAAAAAATGTTTTTTAATTTTTTTCAAAATCTCAGAAAATCAGTTCCAAAGCTCTAATGCTTATTTTTTTCACAACAGTCATCAGTTGCAAAACCTTTTTAGGGGTTGTGTTGTTGTTTCCTCTTAAGTGCACCTGGGCCTTATTCCAGGAAACAGATTTAGCTAAAAACTCTGAAGTTGTTAAGACTGAGATGAGAGAAACTTAGAGTTGATGTTAACCGTCTTTATGGATCAGAAACTCAGTCACTAGAGTAACAGACTGACTGTTGGGCCTCTATGCTCTATTCGAG